CCTAAATACCCTTTTCAACATTGTTCACTTATCTTTATGCAATTTTAAATTTAAAAAAATAAGTTTTTATCATGATTAATCACAACCGTTTATTGAAAGATTGAATGGCCAAGATCGGTTAACAAAGTTAACACAAAAATTTTGGTTAACATTTGATCTTACCCCTATATATATATATATATATATATATATATGCCTAATCAAATGAGAACTGATTAGTTTGTGGTAACTGTGAGGTTCAATGTAAGCCAACCATTTAAATAATTAATGTTATATCCTCAATAACATAAAGGGTAAATTGGTAATGTTATAATCATAAAACCCTAACCCTATTTTTCTTCCTTCCTTCATCGACTAACCCTGTTTTTCTGCTACCATCACGCTTGCCATTGATGCTTCTTCTTATTCATCAAGTCGGCCGACGAGCTCCAAGTCCGACACCATTCTTCGTCGGCGGCGGCGCTAATCGAGCATACCTGACTGAACTTAAGAGCGTGTTGTTCCCGGCAAGTTGGAGATTGCCGCTGACAAAAACGAGCATACCGTCGGCAGGTCCGGAAGGCTGGCAATCGACAGTGGTGATGCTATGTTTGCACTACTGAAAAGTCTAGAAATCGATGGTGAAACAGAACAGAAGAATAACTTTTGGTCTTTTGATTGATTTTCCTTACAACGATTACAACTAGAGAAGGAAAATAAATAAGCCTAACAATCAACTAAAAAAGGAAATAGATAATTAAAGGACCAAGATTTAAGGAAGGAATATATGGACGAAAATAGAGAAAATCCTATACTCCCCCTCAAGATGGAGCATGGAGATCGCAAATGCCCATCTTGTTTAGTAGAGAACGAAGTTGTTGCGTGCCGAGACCCTTGGTCAGGAGGTCTGCAAGTTGAAGTTTGCTTTCAATTGGTTGTGGCTCGATGTCTCTGGTCTCTACACGTTCACGAACAAAGAAACAATCCATTTCGACATGTTTTGTTCGTTCATGATAAACGGGATTGTTGGCTATGTGACGAGCCGCTTGATTGTCACAAAACAAGGATGTTTGTGTTGTGAGTTGAACTTGCATATCTTTGAGTAACCATCTCAACCACAGGACTTCACTAACAGTGGAAGCCATCGCTCTATATTCTGCCTCTGCCGAAGACCGAGAGACGACTGATTGCTTCTTCGTTTTCCAAGAAATGGGGCCGCCACCGAATAAAAGAAGGTACCCTGTTCTGGACCGTCTTGTGAAAGGACACCCAAGCCAGTTTGAGTCACAGTAAGCAGTCAAATTTGAAGGTCCTTCGCGGGGAAGAAGAATCCCTTGACCCAGTGTTCCTTTTAAGTATCTTAAGACCCGATTTGCGACTTCCAAATGGTTTTGACGAGGGTCCGATACAAATTGACTGAGAACATTCACGGCATATGTGACATCGGGTCGGGTAGCTTGTAGATACAACAATCTTCCTACAAGTCTGCAATATTGGGTAGCATCCACTCGAGCTTCTTCTTCTCCTTTGTCTAGTTTGGTTCCTTGCTTGAAAGGAAAAGCACTTGGCCGACAACCCAACATTCCGGTGTCCTTTAAGATGTCCAAGATGTATTTTCGTTGACTCAAAACTAAGCCATCGCTCGTTTTGGCTACTTCAATTCCAAGAAAATATTTCAGGGGGCCAAGGTTCTTGATACTGAATTCATTGTCAAGTTGCTGTTTTATTTGTTGAATCTTRTCGGAGTTATCCCMAACGATGATGACRTCATCCACATAAACAAGGATAGCAACATAGACACCTCCCTTTTGATAAGTGAATAAGGAGTGATCGACCTTTGATTGTTCGAAGTTCAAGGAGATAAGGAAACTTGTTAACTTTCTGTACCAGTTTCTTGATGCTTGCTTAAGCCCGTAAAGAGATTTTCGAAGACGACAGACTCTAGTTTTTCCTTCCTTTGCAAACCCTTTTGGAATCTTCATATAGACTTCTTCATCTAAGTCTCCATGTAAGAACGMATTGTTGACGTCCAGTTGATGGATGATCCAGTTTTTCTTGGTTGCAACGACTAATAGAGTTCAAACAGTGACGAGCTTGGCAACCGGAGCAAAAGTTTCATGATAGTCTACTCCTTCCATTTGTGTGAACCCCTTTGCAATGAGTCTGGCTTTGTATCTTTCAACCTCTCCATTGGATTTGAACTTTGTCTTATAAACCCATTTTGAGTCTATGGGTCGCTTTCCTTCCGGCAATTCTTCCAAAGTCCACGTCCCATTCTTTTCAAGAGCTTTTATTTCTTGATGCATGGCATTCCGCCATTTCTCATCCTGTGTAKCTTGTTCAAAACAACTTGGTTCTTGTTTAGAACTTATTGTCGCTAAAAAAGCTTTATGAGAATGAGAAAATTTATCATAAGAAACAAAATGAGAAATGGGGAGTACCGTCGAGTTTGCTTGACTGGAGCCAGGTTGTGAGTTGGTGACCGAGGGGGGGAGGTTCACGACGTATTCATTGAGACGAGCCGGTTGTGTTCGAACCCTTTTGCTTCTTGGTTCCGGTTCGTCGTGAGGAATGGCGTGATCTTCTTCGATTTCTTGATCCAAAATGGGGCTGTCATTTTCAAAGGAATCATCCTCATGTTGAGTAATGTTTTCTTCTTCAGTTCTTGTATCTTCTGATGTAGTGCTAGGA